TCTCTAAGTCTCATTACTCTCTTTCTAGAAACGAAAAAAAACAATACCTGCCTACCCCAGGGGCTGCTGTGAGAATAACATGAAATACTAGGTATAAGAGTGTTCTGAAAACTATAAATATAAAATGGTATTGCAGGCATACCTCAGAGATATTGCAGCTTTGGCTCTAGACCACCGCAATAGTGAGTGGTCATCTGTTTGCTGGCGGAGGGTCTCACCTTCCATGTGTAAAAAAACGCAACATCTCTGAAGCGCGGTGAGGTGACGTTCGCCTGTGCTATTAGTTCAGCCTCCCCCGAGCCGCCAGCCTGCACCATTCTACGCCAGGAAGTAACCAGCTGGCATCTCTGCTTCCTGTCCCATGGACACAAAAAGTTCAGCGCTTTCTTAGCCGGAAAATAGCTTCAACGAAAAACATCTCTATTTTCCTGTGAATTATACCTGGAATTCAAGGTACATCTAGGAGAGATAGAAAGATATGTGCTTGCTCAATAGCAATGGGTGTGCAGGTTGTGGGCAAGCCTCCAAAAGTATGTATCTAGGCACCAAGTGGAAACAGTGGAATGAAGGAAACAGCCATCCCATCAACACCCCACAGGCACCGAGGCCAACAGCGTTTCTGCAGAGTTCCCCCAGCAGCACCCCTTCGACCTGGCACAAGAAGCCAGTGGAGTACAGACGAGTCCATCCCTTCCATCCAAACCAACTTCCCTGAATCCTGTCTGTGCCTCTTTTTCTCGTTATTGAGGCTCCTGGGATCCCAGCCTAACTCTGGCAAGCATCAGGCGCAGCAGTTAATATTTTTTAAAGATGTGTAGTAGAACAGTTTTTAAAGTGAAAACTTAGTAAGCCTTATGCTCATAAGAGCAAGCATTTATTTTTTAAACTTCCCACTTTTCTTAGAGAAGTTGCAGGATCTAAGGTAAGGTGCCAAAAACCTAAGGTAGTTTCCAGTCAGGAGGCATGATGGTCCCTGCACAGCTCCTGCTCACCAAGGCTCCCCACAATGCTTTGCAATATCTAGGAACAGGGGAGGTGAGGGTAAGTGTGGATTCTGTCAAAGCAACCACTGAGCCTGGGATGTGGCTTGCTGCCCCTGCCTCCTTCACCCTCGGCCTCAAGCAGAGAAGGGAAGGCCCAGGCAAACCTGTGGGGCTGGGGAAGCAGTCCCCTGCTCTCTAACTTGGGCTCCTTTGATGCGTGGCGCTGCACTCTAGGAGGGACCTGGCCGCGGATCTAAAGGAGGCCTTTTACAGCCTTCACCCCTTCTGCTGCCAAGAACTCTACAACAGAGCTTCGTGGCTATGTCAAGGAAGTAAGAACACAAAGATGGCCCATTGCTTGAGGTTCCTTCAGTTCTGATGACTTACATACGTCTCTTCTGAGGCCAAAGGGGTTTAATCTGGTTCCAGGATGTCTCAGTGGGGCTCCTCCAAACGCAGAGGTTCACTCATTCCACACTCAGGTTCTCTGCCACAGAGGCTCAGCTGGAGTGGCTGACGGGCTGGATTTGAGAGCCAACTGCCAGGGTTCAAGTCCTAGCTCTAGGACTTGATACACATTGTTAACCAAGTTGAGTCTCAGTTTCCTTGTTTATCTTGTTTATTTTATAAAGACAAAATGAATGAGCTGGCAGAGAGCAAGCCCATGTGCCAGGCACTCTTGTTCTTGAGGCTAATGAGGCCACGTTCTCAGCCTCACCTTTTAAGTCCTCAGTTTAAATTCTCAGATTCACGGTGTATGCCTTCGGACAATGGAAGGAAAGAGAGTCCAAACCTCAAAATGATATCCACAAGCCTCATTCTGGCATTTAAGGTTCTACACAATCTACTTCCATACTGTCCTCTTGCTACATCGCCACACCCGTTTTCCAGGTCATCCAGTCTTTAAAAAACATCAGGCAACTAAGTGCCATGCACTGTGCTAGTCACGTTCTCCCATCTGGTCCACCCAATGCCTCCCTCCTCTTAGACTCCACCTAGCCTGCAAAGCGGAGCTCAAGCCTGGCACTTCCACGACGCCCACCCCCCCCCCCCAGCTGCTCTAACCCAGCAGGGCTGCCCCTTGACCCCTCTAAGGTCTTGCGGTTTTTACATGGCACTCACCATACATTGATTATTTTGTTACATAGTTATTTTGTATAGTTATTTTTACATGCCTACCTAAAGTTTAAGTGACTCACAGAAAAGGATGAATCTTACATTTGTTTGTATATCCTAAGTTTGTATATCACCAGCCACTAGCAGGGACTCAGCACGTGATTTACTTGATATTTCAAGATGGCACAGAGCAAACCCATTATCATTCTTTTAAAGCAAACACCCTTCTCATCAATACTCCCTCATAGCACAGAGACTTAAAGGCTCAATCTAAAGACCTAGACTAAGTAGGTTTATGGTTAAATCTGCTACTTAGATGTATGACCTTGAGGAAGTTATCTCATCTGTCTGTGCTTGTTTTCTCATCTGTAAATGGGATAAACAAGGTATTTACACTTTTTAAGACAGTTATGAGAATGAAACTGAGATGATACTTTGAACAGGGCCGGCACATAATTAATTACTCTAGAATTATTCAATATTATTATCATTACTACTATCTTCTTGAAGTTCAACTCATCCAGAATGTCCCAAAAAGCATTTTGTAAAGTATTCTAAGCCTGAACGAAAAGCTATCAGTATATACAGTTTATACAAAACATGTATCCCCTCTTCATTCTTAGGTTGTTCAAAATGCATCTCTGTCTGTCCTATTGATCAGTTGCCTCAGGTTGTTACAGAACCTACTGCACCTTCAGTTTTACTGTACAATCAGCAAAAATGTGAGTGCATATACAACTCAAAAAAATATTTGACCATGGCTTAAGCAAAACTGATTCACTATCAAATACATCAGGCATGTACAAAGCTATCAAACTCACCGCTTTCCCATGAGGTACCCTCTTCGGTTATGTTTTTCAGTCTATCCCCGGTGTCAGTGAAAGCAGAAAATTCTGCCTCAAACCCATCAGGTATATAATTATACATCTTGTCATTGAAACAGCACATTTTCTACCAAGCCATTTCTCTCTCTCACTCCCTCCCTCCCTCCTTTTCCTACTACTTTTCAATGAGATTTTAATTAAGATCAGTTTTAATGCCCAGGCTAAAAGGCAAATAACTCTTCAATCATGAGACAAAATGAAACTGTTGACAGAGAGAATGGGTAGTTCAAATTCACATGCTGGCATTGAAAAAAAAACAACAACAACAAAAAACAAAACTAGCAACTTTCTCTCAAGATATTTGCAACGAGGAGGACATTCTACTTTCCAATCTCATAAACCAAGTTCTGCAAACTGGCTTTTACTCAGTCTGTGCCTGAGTCTACTGGAGCCCCAGCTGGTGGTCTGGCTTCTTCATTATAGCACAGAGGTTAAGAGCAAGATGTAAAACTTGGCTCCTCCACTTCCCAGCTACATGACACTGGGCAAGTTATCTCATCTCTCTGTATCTGATTTCATCAGTCTGTGAAATGAGAAAAATAATCACACCTACCTCAGAGTTGTGATTAACTGAGCTCATGAAATAAGAATATCCTACTCACTGTTATATTCTATAGTTGTTTAGCCCAGTGCCTGGCTGCAGTGCACACTCAGTAAATGGTGATTATTATCATTATCATCTCAACTGTATGTGAATTCAATAGCCAAAACCAAGAGGCTAATCATTTTTCAAGTCAAGGAGTTTCTTGTTGAGATCAGCCAGTTTCAAAATCTGGTCCAACAAAATCATTTTATGTAGCCATTATAGAACAGACACAAAGCTTATGACAACAAAATAGAGCAAATTAAGCTTCCAAATGTGTTAAGTAACCCTGACTGCCAACACTAAGACATTGCTGTGGAGGATCTGATATTCTTACTTAAGCAACAATGTTCCAACCAAGTAATTTGTTTCCTCTCATCTCCAACCTCATACTCTGATGTATATTTCAGTACTTTTTTTGTTGTTAATCCTCATCCTAGGATATTTTTCCACTGATTTTTTTAGATAGAGTGGAAGGGAGGGAGGGAGGGGGAGAGAGAGAGAGAGAGAGAGAGAGAGAGAGAGAGAGAGAGAGAGAGAGAGAGAGAAACATCAATGTGAGACATATCAACTGGTTGTCTCTCACACCACCTCAACAGGAGCTGGGGTCGAACCTGCAAACCAGGTATGTGCCCTTGACCAGGAATTGAACCCAAGACCCTTCGATCTGCGGGGCAATGCTCTATCCGCTGAGCCAAACCGGCCAGGGCTACTTCAGTACGTTTTAAAAAGTTACACATTTAAATATCTGAAATAGACAAAAATTTAATAACTTTCTAAGCAGCCTATTCCAGAAGTCTCTCCTCTATCTAGAAGATCTATTTGTTTTATCATAAAGAACAAAAGAGCCTTCTTGAAGTTTTTTATTTAGGACAAGAAAGCAAATGTAATCTATTCATGTAACAAAATTAAGTGGGATTAAACCTTAGCATATTTGTTCTAACCACCTCAATACTGAAGGTTATAGTTAGGTATCTACACCACTGACAGAATGTCCAGCACCAGTCTATTGAAATGTAACACAGGCAAATATACTATGTATCTGTATAGAAGTCAAATATTTTATTTCCCTCAAGAACATAAATACTTGGAATGTCAGCCTGCGGTCCAGAGAGACCGGGGTTTGGTTCCCACTAAGGGCATGTACCTCGGTTGCAGTTTGTCCCCGGCCCCGGTTGGGGTCATGCAGGAGGCAGCCACTTGATGTGTCCCTTTCACGTTGATGTTTCTCTCTCTCTTCCTCTCTCTCCCTCCCACTATACCTGAACAAAAATGGAAAAATGTCCTCAGGTGAAGATTAAAAAAAAAAAAGAACATAAATACTCAAATTATGCATAAATATCACAGGTCCTAAATTTTCCTAAACTGAAGAGACTGAGGAAAACTATAGCCAAAAGAATATAATAAACATGCAATTCATACTATGCAACTTACCTGCAGTAGCCAAACAGACACTCATTAGGGCAAGCATGGCGATCACATAACGAGAAGTCATTTTTATTTCTTCAAAAGTGTGTCCCAATCACCTCAGCCTGTAGTTCTTCAGATCGTAGACAATCTTTGCAAATCAGATATGGCCTTAAAATCCCTCTTTCCAATTTTCCAGTTGTCTGTAAAAATAAACATATTTCAAGAAGAAAACTTAATGCAGGAACTTCTTTTCATAAACACAGATTAGGGTGAAATGAAGAACTTCTAAAGAGGGTAAGATAAAATTATCTTAAAAGATGCCAAAACGGCACTCAAGCAAACTGAGATTGGGGTGATAATGACTTACTAAAGGTTTTTATAGCAAATACTTTTGCAAAACCATATTTACTTTTGACAGTTTAAATATTTGGTTTTAGATAAAATTTTCAGGACCACAGAAGAGAACCAAGGTGCACCTATAATATAATATCTCCAGTGATGTAGTGGCGCTAGAGCAATTGTTGACACTTGATTCATGAATGCCCTAGTGCTAACAACAACGACAACAACAACAAAACCAGCTCTGATTAGAGACTCGGGCTGTATTATAATGACAGAGTTATCACAGGATCAAATTAAAACACATTTAGAATCGATTTGGAAAATACAAAACCATTAAAAGGCAAGATTCTTATTTCAACTGTTGGCCAGCCTCTTAGCAGGAGAAGTCTTCCCTGTCTCTAGTCCCACCTGAGACCATCTGGTTACTGGACTAGAGGGTCTGGACGTCCTTTCTTTCAAACATTTTCCAGTCCAGAACCTTGCTTGACTGGCACGTTTTGTGGTGGTTTGCTTAACTTGAACATCCCCATGTGGCCCTAAAGATTACCTCATTTAGTTACTCCAGAGTGTATTTCCCAGTCCTGTATCCCTGAGCCTGGCACAACCCACAGAAGTTGTCTAACTCGATAAATATTTATTGAACACCTACTATGTTCCAAGTATTTAAGGACATGATTCCTTTTCATCAAGAATAAAAGTTATGCCTGATCGGTGTGGCTCAGTGGACTGAGCATCATCCCATGGACTGAGAGGTCCCTGTTCAATTCCCAGTCAGGGCACATGCCCAGGTTTGGGGCTCAATCCCCAGTAAGGGACATGCAGGAGCCAGTCAATGGATGTTTCTCTCTCACATCGATGTTTCTCTCTCTCTCTCTCTCTCTCTCTCTCTCTCTCTCTAAAAACTCAATTTAAAAAAATATTTTAAAAAGTAATTTAAAAGCCCTGGCCGGTTTGGCTCAGCAGTTAGAGCGTCAACCCGCCAACCCGAGAGACCTGGTTTCGGTTCCTGCTAAGGGCACATTACCTGGGTTGCAGTTTGTTCCCGGCCCCAGTTGGGGTTGTGTGGGTGGCGACCACTCAATGTGTCTCTCTCACATTGATGTTTCTTTCTCTCTCTTCCTCTCTCCCTCCCACTCTATCTGAAGATGAATGCAAAAATGTCCTCAGGTGAAGATAAAAAAATAATTTAAAAAAATAAAAATTATCCAACACCTGGATAAAAGCACAAACACCTTACTTGATCCAAACCCTGGGCAAGGCCAGATTAAGGTGTTTCTAGGAACCATCTCAAATAGCTGGGACTGCGGCCTTCTTACCCTTACCCGGGAAGTACCATCCACAGAACCAGCTTGCTATCCAGATACAAAGCCAGTTTGGGCACTTGTAGATACAGTGCAAAAATACAAAAACAACGGCAAAATGAGTTTCTAACTGAGTGTTCTTAGTTCACTGCATTAAGTGTTAGGAGAAAGATGAAGTTGTTCTAAGAGTAGTAACACTAATTTCCTATGAGAAGGAGGGAGAGAAACAGTGTAGTTGTGTTAGCCTAGGTAGCTAGTTACATATTAACAAACGAGAAGAGAGCGACACTGGCCGAGCCTGATTAAATCTGGAAGCTGCAGCTTTGCCTCAGGGGACAGCCACATCCTCCACCAAAGGAACTTAATCCCCCCAGCAGGCAGGAAAGACCCACTTTCCAACCTCCCCAGGGAATAACCGGCCAGTTCTCCGGATTACCAGGGGGAGGAATGAACAGTAAAGGGGAAATTTCTTTGCACAGTACGAGCCAGATAACAAGCAAAACTACAAGGATGCTGCAGTAGGAGACAAAATGAGAGGAGTCTAGCCTGGGAAAATCTGGGAAAAGGGTTGGATAAGATAAGGACATGGAAACCCAGAAGATTCAGGAAAGGGATTGGATAGGGGGAGGGCCCAGCACAGCCAACTAAGAATTAGGAAGGAGATTGGTTAGTTTGAAAGAAAATTTACCCCTTCCCAAACCCAAGGAGATATGATCAAAGTTTAACCAAGGCCCCAGGGGGTGTGTTCTCTCTCTGTAGCAGGCCTGGGGCCAAAAGTGCCCTTCCAATAAATCTTGCCACTGCACCTCAAACCCTCCTATGTGTGTATTTTTGAAATGCGTTTTCTGCAATGCCTGGGAGAATCCTATTCCGGCCCTGGCTGGTGCAGCTCAGTTGGCTGAGCTTCTTCCTTGTGCACCAAAAGTCACTTACTGGTTTGATTTCCGGTCAGGGCACATACCCAGGTGTGTGTTCCATCCCAGGTCAAGGTACATACAGGAGGCAACTGATGGATGTTTCCCTGTCACATCAATGTCTGTCTGTCTGTCTGTCTGTCTGTCTCTCTCTCTCTCTCTCTCTCGTTTCCTCTCTCTCTAAAAAAATCAATTTAAAAAAAAGTCCTATTTCCTGAACTTGCCAGGGCAGGCCTGCCTTGGTCACAGTCCACCTATGGAAAAAGTTAGAGGACAGTGATGAGAACTTGGGAGAGGAGCCTTTTCATTGAATTGCCATTTGATTTTGAAAGTATTGCCTATGCAGAAATAATAACAATAAAGTTCTAATTTCTGAAAGAACTTTACAGACACATCTTGAAACTAAATTATATGTGCAGGAGGCACTATGGTTCAATCTTAGTATATGACAGTAATTAAAGGCCTACCATGAATAGAATATGGATTTTGATGGCAGTTAAACGCCTGCTTGGGACTGAATCTACTCTGCCACCTACGAAATCAGTGATGTTGAGCAGACTGTTCTGCATACATGAACCTATTCACATGGGTTATTGTAAAGATTTGGTGCACACACATGCACACACACACTGCTTAATAATATAGATTAATACTTAGAACAGTGCCAAATATATAATAAGCCACCAATAAATGTTCGGTATTGTTATCACTATTTGGCCATTCTTTTGAGGTATACAGGGTGGGGCACAAGTAGGTTGCCCTGGCCAGTTTGGCTCAGCAGTTAGAGCGTCGGCCTGCGATCCAGAGAAACCCGGGTTCGGTTCCCGCTAAGGACGCGTACCCTGGTTGGGTCTTGCGGGAGGCAGCACTAGATGTGTCTCTCTCACATGGATGTTTCTCTCTCTCTCCCCCACTCCCATTCTATCTGAACAAAAAATGGAAAAGTGTCCTTGGGTGAGGATTAAAAAAAAAAAAAAAAGTAGGTTTACAGTTGTTTGCATGGAAAATAATAATAAATAATAATACAAGAATAAACTCTGTGTTCTGCATACTCACAACTGTAAACTCAGCCCCACCCTGTATTTATGCCAACAAAGTAAAGAAATTTGGGTGTGATTATTTATATAATTCTTTGCTTGTGCAAAAGCAGTTCAAATCTTTTGTTTATTAAAAAATAAACATTCCAACAGACACAAAAGAGAGATAAGCTAAAGAATGAAATCACTAAAAGAACAGAATTGCCAGTCGAGTTGAGCACAGGTCACTGGGGCCACAATGGTCCCGTCTCCAAACCTGACTAAATTAGAGAGATCACGTTAGATGCCATGAAGAAATCGACTTGAAGCCCAGCATTTCTGTCACAGTGACTCCACATCCTCTCAATGAAATGGAAGTCACCATCTTCTGTTTTTTACAAGTCAACAACAGCAAAGAGAATGTGTCCCTATTTTTTACCTTCAGAAAATTAGGTGTCATGAATAAACTGATAAGAAAAACCCTCTTTACAAAAATATGCTATCTCAGCAAACGCTAAAGGCAATATTCATAAAGCAAAACCCCATAAAGAGATCTCAGAAGAAGATGGCTTCCAGAGGATGTTTATGGAACACGTAAACCAGATCCAGCACGAGGCCTGTGGGAATATTTAATGAGCTGTGTCACCCCCTGCCCGCAGCTGCAGAGGGTCTGTGTGCCTGTGCTCGTTAATCCAGGGGCTTAAACCAGGTCTGAATAAACCTGTGGAAAAGAAAGGCAAACGGTTCTATTAAAAATATAGGCTGCAAATTGCTGACAAGAATATTGGGCAATTATTAAAATGCAGCAATTACAGATATAATAGAGCCAAGCTAAACAGTTTGATGCCCAAAGGCAAACCACAGCAAGTTTACACCGGATCTGCAAACATCTCCGAGGAAGTCCAAGACAAGTTGAAACTCCACACTGCTGCTTCTAACAAAAAGGAGCTTTTCTTCTTTTAGCTTAAAAGTCCCTCCATAATATAACTTATTCAGAAAGAAAATAAACTGCAGGGAGTTTCTGTCTAATCTTCCCAACGTGGTGACAGGATCCTACGGCAGAAGAGAAGAAAAGGGAAGTGTGTCATTCCCATTCGGTGGAACACCAGCTCTGGCCAAGACTCACACACATCAACACCTTAACACACAACGTAGGGGCAGGTTTCCCACCTGGATGATCAACAGCTTCCAAGAAGTTATAGATTTGAAGTAAAGCGAGGGAAATACAAACTCATTCTTCTGTGAGGTTTTTCTCGAACTCAATTTGCAGAGAGCAGGGACTCCCCACCTTGGTTTTCTCACTGAATCTCCTGGACTTTCTGAACTAAATGCATCCCTTTGAAATACAAATGGGGTACTCTGAGATCTTGAAAGAACAATCTGGGGTCTGGTCATTCTGTCTGCATTTCAAAGTAATGCGTTCTCTCAAAGGGTACCAGAACTGTCAGTATCCTAAAATAAACAGAAAAAATTCTACGTGAGAACTTAATGAATATTGTTTTAATCCACACCTGAGGAAATGCTTTTATTGATTTTGAGAAAGGGACGGAGAGAAAGAATATAAGTGTGAAAGAGAAATATCGATTGATTGCCTCCCATACGTGCCCCAACCATGAACCTGCAACCT